GAAACTAGGATTAAATACTTGGAGGTGTTTAGACCAAAGTATGTACGATGTTAGATAATTGGAAGAATGAGACACATACACTAGTATAAGGTGAAAACATTGTAGCACGTGTTTCATACCACGTGTGTCAAGCGATCAATAGGTCAATAGAAGAATGTTCCCTGCTTCTTCATTGTGTGAGACCTCCAAAAGTTAAAATGACTTTTCAATGAAATACCCTTTGACCTTTTGTTGTTTCTTAAAGTTTCAATCGATGTTGCTACTTTAGCATGTTACTTATAGCCATGAATGATTCGGCAATGTAGTGCATGTCTAGCAAAGCAGTTGAATAAGAACATATAGATTCGAGTAGAAAGGAAAGACAATTAATTGAATAATAAACTTATATACACAAGCTGGCTATTGCACTAACCATATTGGTATTGAGTGTAATTGTGTGTATAAAGTAAGACATGAACTTGAGTTAACCTCTTTAAGAGGATGGGTGATCGAATAAATAACTACTGAAGTAGTGAATGAAGTCCGGGGCATTGTGAGTAATAGTATTATCATTTAAGTAGTGAATTCCTTCCACATGTGATTGGATTCCTATATGGGGCTTATAAAATCTTCAAGGTAATCTCTTGATGCTCACAGGTCGCACAAACTATTTGTCGTATGAATTGTGTGTCTGTTGATGTTGTGTTAGCTTGGGTCTTGTCCACCATGTGCGAAGTGGGAGATGTAAGTTTTGGGTCGTGTATTGCCCATGTGGACCAACCCGACCCAATCTTACCTGATCAAAGTTATTTTCTGTAAAATGGATAAGTGATAATTTTAAAAAAGGATGGGAATAGTTACATAGTAACTGCTCCAACATAAACAATCCATTTTTTTAAAATTTAAGTTTTACGCTCTTCAGAAAGAAAAAAAGAAGAAGAAAACAAAAACAGAAAACTCAACAAAATTTTGTTTCCTAGTGATACAAAGAAGGATTTGGAGCTAGTCATTCAGTTCGTGAAATTCATTCCGCTGCAAACAATCAAAGGTACACAAATCTTGTACCAAAATATTGTTTAAATCTTTCAGTTCACACCAATTTACTATGGTCTAGCTAAGTATGAAGAAATAATATCTATGGTCTACCCAGAGAGTATGTAGAAATAATGTCTAAGATTATCCTTTTATGACTTTCACATGATGTAGAGTGAGCATGTATTCAATTCATTTCATCTTCATTGATGGGTCGATGATGTGCACTAATTTGTACTTTACATTTTCTCATATTTTGATTGATTTTCTTTCTGAATGACATGCCCCTAGCTGTTGAATCATACTTTTCTTTGAGTTTTAATTTAGCTTTTGCAATGAGTGAAAATTATAGAGTATTTTATATGTAGTAATCACATGAGTAACAAATTATTGTAAACAAGAAAGAACTAGCTTAGACTCTGCAGTGAATTTCAATTCATCTGACTACGATGCTCACATTTTTTTGCTATAAATCAAAATGTTCTAAAAGCAAACTAATGACATGTAGATGCAGGGTATAGGAGGAACATGAAATGTTGCTGTAGAAAAGGGGTAAAGAGACTTTCTCAACAACAAGGTGATTCAAATATATTTCTTCCACTTTTGCAGGTAGTTGACTGCTTCTCATGATGATACATATAATTGCTTTGAGCCTAAATTATACAATTCAATGCCATAGGGAAGTGTGAGATATGATATACATTCACAAGTTAAAAAAGTATGAGTGAAGAGGAGATGAATGGAGGAGAGTAAGGGATGTAAATAGAACTAGGAAATCGCATAATGAAGTATCTTTAAGTTCTATATGAACATAGTGTTACTATTTAATTTCATTGTGAATTGCTTACCTTTTCTCATTTATTTAGATCTTCAGTAGCAGCTAGCGATATCAATTGTTTCCAAATGTAATATGATTGGATAAAATATCTATTTTATATTGGACCTGTGCAAGTACTGGACTAGTATTTAGGAAAAACTACCTATTAAGACATACTTTCCTACCATATATACATATTTTATCTCTACTTTAAAAATATTTCATATAATACCACTTATTAATAACTATACCATATATTTTTAAAAGTTAAATCAGATACACAATCCATTTAAATATGTTATTTAATAATTATCTTAAAATTACATCTCCTTAATTAGTGGGACATTAATAATTCAAATTAATTTCTCTCTCCAATTCTGCCGTTTCTCTCATCCCCAATCCCATAACATGTTTGTATCTCGTTCCCTCCCCCATGTAATTCTCACACATCCCCCATTACTCCTTCTTCATTAACCATCTCAATACACATTTTGAATGTACTAAATTCATATCCAACTCTACATAATCAACATTAGTTAAAGCAGCAAAGTAAGATTATTCCTATTGTATATTTGTTTCAACTGTATCATGTATCTGAATCAGAGTTGGAATTAATGTATGCATTTCTGCACCTTTAAAATATCTTTACTTATTAGTTATGATTTTTCATATTACTAATTTAATGTTCATTTGTCAGGGACTATAGATTATATACAACTGCATATGCTGAGTATCTGACTGATGGATAGCAGATACCATCAGCAAATTTTGATGTCGATCTACATTGTTTGAGATACGGTGCACTTTTATGGAATTATGAGAATCAAAAGCCTCATCTGGTTCAATTAGCGATAACGAAGACCTCCTAAGCCAATGAGCACGTTTGTTCTTTCAGATGACATTGAAAACATTAATTTAGATTAGTCATCTGAAGTTCTTTTTTTAGATTTCCCCTTTCTTGAACTTGCTAAGCCTCCTCTTGAAATCATTCATGTAATTAATGTCTACTCCGTAGTCACATTTAACATCTTCCTGAATGTTCTTTGGAGTATGCTTTCTTTATGATTCTCATATTTTGGAGCAACTATTCCAGCTATTAAACCAACTGTTTCTTGACGATGTGACAACACTTTATCCTTTTACGGACATATGTGATCGTTATTGAAAGACCTCACTCTAAAAATAATTATTTTATTCAAACATGATGATTTGAATATCCATTGACACTCCTCAGACATACAACTCAAAAAATAACTGCACACAAAGGCGTTACAATAGCTGAGGCTACCAAATACATGCTTAATTACATAAGATACAAATTAATGAAACTTAACACTTTCATGAATTCACTATAACGCTACTCACAACAAACCTGGGATACATGCCCAACTAATCATTTATGCTACCCAAATTATCGCTCATTCGAGATACTTATTATTTATACGAGATACACATATAATATCTCTAGACGTTTTTCTCATGTATATGTACTACATTATTTTTCAGGGATAACTGTTTAACAAAATATACACAAAATTCATTACTCTTAAACATGAGGTCGTTTAGTCGTCCGAGATACACTATTAAGTTATGGCACATTTATTTTCATATATTTGCTCAACATTATTATATTAGATACACGCTTAATAAGAAATATATGCTTTAAACTTTCACTTTTAAACATTAGATTGTTACTTTTAATAATGTGGTATAAATTATTTGTCCGAGATACACATTATTTGTTCGAGATACACACTATAAAATTATGACTCCTGAAGATTAGATCATTACTTTTAAGAATGACCATGTTATGAAATTAACATACACGATAAAAACACATTTAACATTACATCTATTTTCATCAATATTATGACACATTTTCATCGTGTTTCTAAGATACACAAAAAAAGATACAACCACCAAAATAACAAGCATGACTATCCTCTTCTTGTCTGATCTTGCAACATTGTATTGGAATTGATTGTCTATGACATATTTTTGCATAACAACCATAATAGTCTTCTTGTACTTATACACTACTTGACTTTAACAAATTTGTGACTACAGTTACCAATAACATGATTTGATTTAGTATTCAAAACACATAATGCATCTACACTACGATTCTCTGGAAGAATTGCGGCAGATATAGTCATGTCATCATCCCCAACTTGAACGATTGATGTATCTGGCTCAAACGCAATTTCATCATTAATGCTACATCCAAAATTGTGATCTTTTGTTTTTATGCACAATGGATACAACCCGAAATTTGTTTGACTTCTTTTCAATTCCATGTGAAACCTCATGTCCATCTCGTTTTAGATTTTCATTAGAGTTAGATTACCTTCGTGTATCTGATCTCCATCCTTTTTCGAGTACTTTGTTTTGAAATACCATCCACTAGATCGTTGTAGTTTGCATTAGCTCTCAAAAGTATTTCATCAATTCTATAATTTTCATATTCAATTTCAGAGGCCCAAGAACCCGAATGTCTCAACAAATTTGCAAAAAGAGATCTCGAAAATTTTAAGATTCAAAAAATGAATTGATGAAGAAGATGAAGTTCTCACTTTTAGATTACTAATTTTTATGATGTTAGTTGATACAATGGATCCATTAATTACGTTTTGGTTGTTGAGTTTCCATAACTTACTCCTGTAATTAAGGGATTAAGTTACAACAATTAATTCAAATTAATTAAAACATGTATCACGTCCTTTGAATTCTAATAGAGTCATGTATCTTACGACTTATTAAACATGTATCTTATAAATGAAAAATGATATATGAAGTAATATTGAAAACTAGTGGGATTCCTAGTAATTAAAATCTAAAGTAGTGGATTTATGTAGCTTACCCTAGTATTTATATGCAGAAGTAAAAATTAAAAAAACAAAAACAACATGTATTTTCAAATGAAAATGATTTAATATTAAAATATGTACTCATATTTTTTCCTAGTAGTTTCCAATTCAACGAAGGAAAAGGAGAAAATGTGGACGCGCTATTAAATGCGCGTATATCCTAATAGGAACCGCTCAACTACAGCCACGTCATTGTCTCTTTTAGTTTATTTTTTTATTTGTTTTATGTTTCGAAGACCGCCTTTGATTTCTTTATAAGCCCTTCTCCCTATCTCCCTTTCCATCTCCACAAATAAACCTGCGTCTGTTCTTTCTTCCTATATCCTATATATAATACAGTATTTATTTTGTTCCATTATACCTCAATTAATTTTTTTTCATCCGATCTATTCCGATGGCCGGAGTTGCCCTTCTTCAACCACAAGATGTTCTCAAACATCATGTAAGCTATCGTCAACCTATGAGATCTCGACGGAATTCCACTTCTAACCCTCTACCAAATCCTAACCCTAACCCTAACCCTAAGAATAACCGAAGAAAGCGAAGTCCACAAAAAAAATGGATCTGCTAACTTTTCAACTTGTCCTCCTAGTGCTAAAAATCTCCATCTGGTGATGGGAGAGGTGAAAATTCTAAAGCGTGGTCAAGTGTTGAAGGAAAACAAGCTTGTCACTGGTGAAGATCTGGTGTTGTCCACTACAGATCGGCTGGGTCCAGAGCCGGATATGGTGCCTAAGAACATAACGATTGCTCATTTCTATGCTGGATCGGGTTTCTCCTCCTCCTCGCCGCCACCGAGCTCTTTGCCTGTGCCGGCTTTCTTCAAGAAGGAAAGTGAACATAACCTCCACGCTACAAGCGACTTGAGGCGTCTTCTCAGGATCGATCTGGCCGACTAGTTGAACAGTTATGGGATGTTTCAATGATGACGACGACGACGACGACGACGATAGAGTCTTAAGTTTGTGTTTTGCTCCCTGCTCGTGAAAGCTTCCCTTATTTTTTCAAGGGGAAGGGCGAGTTGGTCAAGCAATTTATCATATTTCCTTATTTAGGTCCTTTAATTTACCTTTAATTATAGCAGAAAAGTAGATCTAGTTAGGCTGTTGTTTTGGGCTGTATAGTCTAGTCATAAGTTTGGGTTTTTTCGTTTTAATCGCCTGCTATAGTATTGTAGCGTCAGTTGGTCTAGTTTCAGTCGGCTAGTGGTTTAGAGCCATTAGCATATCCTTCTGTAATTTATGTCTCTTCGATTTTATATGTAGCTTCAGCAGTAATTAGAAATATTAGTATTACTTTTGTGTCATTACACTGTTCTGCTTCGGTATATCATATAATTTTTTCTGCTGTTATGAGCTTTTTATTGTATAGTAAATTTTTTTGCTTTTGTTCTGTCCTTGACAAGTCTCTCTTTTATATCATATGAATCAGTGTAACAAATTAACTTTGTGTCTCATTATTTTGTGCTAACAAAATCATTTAATAGGGGAAATCTGCATGTTTTAATCTTTCACCATCACATTATTTGGATGGTTAATTGGTAATGCCTTCATTGCACTCTCACATCTCCTTGTTCCGTTTTTCATGTTTTGTTAGTTGTGAAACTAAAACTGTTTAATTCTTAATATAGTTTGGCAGATTTATCATGGTCTGGAGCTCTGAGAAGTCCTTTCAGATATAAGTTGCATTAAATTGCATTGCAAATATTTTCCTGCTGAGGTTGAAATCTTACTTCCAAATGTATAGGCTTTCTCTTGTTTGCTTTTCTGTATGCATTCTTTGAGCAATAGTTTATCTTTAGGCTGAATTCTTGGATCAGAATGTACTTCTGTCACCCGTATGTGCTAACTCGTGTGATTTTTCACGCATAATGTAGGAATCTGTGGCAACAGACGGTGGGCTACATTTGCCAAAGCAAAAGAGTGAGAACTATCTAATCTTGTACAGCTGTGAAAATTTTCAAGTCTGATAGTTGACAAAGTGAAGAGCAGAACTCTTAATGGGCAATGGGAGGGGAAGTGGAGTGTTGCCAATGAATGCAAAATTGTCATGGCTGCATGTGTTGTCTGGGTAGTATCCTCAAAATCAGACCTCGAGCTATGTTGGTTTATTTGATTTAAGCTCATTTACTTTGATTTTCATACTTAATTTTCCTATTTGATTTTTCGTCTGATTTATTCATCAGTTAGTACTTGTGATTTTAGTGTAGTTTCTTTAGCAGTTCCCTTTTGAATCTGCTTTTCTAGAAGTAGGTTTTATTAACTGTATGCTTCTGTATTATTCATTCAAGTAGGGTTATCAACTGTATGCTTTTCCATGTATTATCCATTCGTATGCAAGCATGGATACATCTCTCACTAACCTTCTGCTCTCCAAACCCCTCCCTCAAACCATGAAATAAGAGAGAAAAATAGAACATATGAAAAGATTGATCAGTTCCTTCCGTCTGAAAGGTTGACTTGCATGATATGCTACTGTGGTCAGAATAGATATATATATATTTCTAACTCTATAATAAGTACCGGTCTCCAAGTCCTTTGTCATCCAGGGTTATGTTGGTAATTTCAATTTGAAACCCCTTGTAAAACCAATATAGGAAAGATTCTGTTCTAAATTGATATTAGTACACGCGTATTTTCTTATGATACCTGTTTCACACTTCTCTTCCTTCATATCAATAGTCAATACTTTGTCGAGTCTGCTAAAGTCCCCCATTTTCATTTCCTTCTCTTACATTTGTTTCTCCTTTGCTTATGGTTTTCCTTTTAAGGTTGTTTTTGGAAATTTCTTACTGTCATGCTTTTTCTGTTCTCTTTGGTTTTCACTCTTTTTTACCACTAAGTCAGCTCTTGTTGTGCTGAAATAAAGCCTTGACAATCCCAAATGCTACCCTACAAACATCAAATGCAAGCCAAACAAGTAAATGCAACTCTTCACTCTCTGTTTGTGTTACCTTCTTACATAACCTTCTGTTACAAGGCATTCACAGTAGAGTCTTTATGTGAAATCAACTTGGTACATACAAAGTTTCTCAAGCTTATATACCGTATGAACAAGAATTGTTGGCAACTTTTTTTTACTTCAAAGCTTCAGTTGATTTTGTAATTTTAAATTGAACATTTGATATGTCAAGAGTAAATGCAACTGTAATAAAAATGATACCAGAAACTATTCTTAGAATGCTTAACTTTGGTGTTGAGAATAGGTCACACAACTTGAGTTAATTAAAATCTCCATTTCTTTTTGCTACTTTCAACTTCTCTACAAAAGTATTGTAACCACCATTTCCCTTTTAGTGTCTTCAGGTTTTCTACAAAGCTCCTAAACAAGTGTGGTCAGTGTAGAGCTGTGTTTGCTTCTACATTATGACAAGGTAATGCTAGTGTGCGGTGAGCGAGCATGCTCTGTGTACAATTAAGCAAAGAGTTGGTGAAGGTTGGAACGGAATATCGTATGTAGTGTTGAATGCAATCTGAACCTCTTTTTACTTTCAGCCCTCAGCTTGGTTCTTCTTCCTCTTTCCTTTTTGTTCACAATTGTTTCTTATGTTTTTATTAATTTCGGTGTTATTCATTTTTGCTCTTTTTGGGTTTTTAAAATACCAACAGAGCTTCAATATTGCAATTGATCATTGAGATGTTGAATTGTCTGCCTTTTAGTTTCATTGAGGAGTTAAAAGTTTAATTGTATCATTTGAAATTGGGTTTTAAGAGATCAAATAAAGTTTGATTTCAGGGATGGACCAAACAATTTGAAAGTTCCGGGTATACATGAAAAGAACTACATAGAAGTTGCTTGATGAGTGCCTCACACTTGAGAGGTAAGTCATGAAAATCAGAAAATTTCTTCACCTTTATTTATATCTATACTTGGGTGCATCTTTGTTTCTTGCTTTGATTTCCTAGAATAGTATTTTGAGAATGAAAAATGGGTCCTTCAGAGTGAAATTGATGTTTATAAATCAAACGAATATATTTTTCAAAAATAAATAATCATCGGTGTATACGACTGGTGAAGAAACTCAGACATCTGAGAAAAATATTCTTATTGGGTTTTCAGTAGACGGGACCTTACTTAAATTGACATTTTTATGCAAATTAGTTGCACTCTTTGGTGCTTATACGTGGGGTAGTAGGCTTAGTAGTTATCTTTATGCTTTATGTAACACCTCTGGATCTTGGATGACTATTTATCAAAATTGAAATGTTTCCTCATCTTATTTCTTTTAAAAGGCTGATTCTATGTCCTCTATAGTCATGTTACAATCAATCGTCTGTCCAATGGTGAGGAGCCAAATTATCTCTCTGCAAGTATGGAAATGATACGTGGTACACCCGATTCTTGACGAACTCAAGAGGCAAAGAGAATGGTTGGGTGGCGAGGCATCACTTCTTACAAGATTTGATGCTATTTTATTGGTTGGGTGGCAAGGCATCACTTTTTACAAGGTTTGATGCTATTTTATTGGTTGGGTGGCGAGACATCACTTCTTGCAAGGTTTGATGCTTAATTAATGATCTCAGTAGAATTTCTTCTCTTTTGGCACTGTTCATTTTAAATTTGGTAGGGCTGTTATACGTATGAAGCTGTATGAAGCATAGTTTTAATTTTAGGAGCTCTTCTGTTTTTGCCATCTTCATTCTAATTTATAATTCCTTTTCTTTTGGGTGGGTATAAAATCTGTCTAGAAAGACAAAAATGTTATAAGGGAGTAGCAAGGAAGTATGTGAAATATACACTTTCTTTTAAGAAAGACAACTTATTACTGTTTTCTGTTAGTGTGCAACAAATCTCTTGTGTGATTGGTATTTGGAATAAGCAACTTTCTTTTGTTTGATGATTTGGAATTCAATTTGGCTGGAAACAAGTAATGTTCTTCCAAGTCCAGAGAAGTTGCAACAATCATGTGTACAATTTTGATCCAAACTGATGTACTCAATGTTCTGTAGTGGTTCTATCTTAAAAGAACCAATGCAATTGTTTTATTATATAATAAGAATTGGGGTAGCATCTAATATTAACTGTATTACATATTATCTTTTTAGTTGATAGAGACAATCAATAAGTACGAATTGGGATCCTTAAATATCTTTTTATTTCCAATCAAGTGTTAATAATTCCTATATATTTATAATTATTTATTCTTTTCATCTTGTGTGTCTTTACTTTCTTGATCACTTGATTATGATGGACAATTGAACAAATTTGCATGCACGTTATGAAACTGTATTGTGTTCTACCTGCACCTAATTCAACTATTCACAATCCTTTTGAGTATGTTATAAGTGGTCATGTTCTTGTTACAGGCGCTTTGTGAAAGAATATTTAACAAAGGAGGAGGTATAACTGAAGATAATTAGACCACCATACACTCAGGAGTTAATTAGCTACTCACCTGCAAAGGTAAGCAGTGCTAAATTGCTATTCATTTCTTTATTTCAGGTATGTTTTCGATGTGTCCATATAGTATACATACATGTGCATGTGTAGATTACAGAAATAATTGATTTACTCGTGATATAAATAGTGATATCAGTCACCCATGCATAGAACGGGCACTGGTGATGGGAATGCATTCGGGCGATTCATAGTAAGTTAATTGAGAACTGTCTTCAGCTATGCGCCAACAACATTTTTGACAGATTAATCATGGTAGGGAGCTCCGCTAAAGTCCTTTCAGATATTAATCTCATTGCAAATATTTTCTCCCGAGGTTGAAATCTAACTTCCAAATGCATACGCTTTCTCTTGTTGCTTTCTGTAAGCGTTCTTTGAGCAAAACTTTATCTTTAGGCTGAAATCTTGGATCAGAATGTACTTGTGTCACCAGTATGTGCTTTCCTCATGTTATTTTCACAGATAGAGGGTGGGCTATATTTGCCAAGGCAAAAGAGTGAGAACAATCTAATCTTGTACAACTGTGTGAATTTTTG